TTTCATTCTTCAGGTCAACCATATATTCATGAAAAAAAAATCAGTTTGAATAAAGAAAGCAATAACTTTTCCATAGTATCCTTTCAAATGTTAAAGTTGCCACAGTCATTGCATGCTTTGCATGTGCTGCCCCGCCCCCGGAAAAAAGTTCAGACTCAGGATTTTTTTTTGCTTTAACCCCTGAATATTGATTCAAGTTAGTTAAATTGTTTTATCTTGTAGATTAGCTTAAAAGGATAGTTCACCCAAAAATGAAAATTAGGCCATTATTTACTCACCCTCAAGCCATCCTAGGCGTACACGACTTCCTTCTTTCAGATGAATCCAATCGGAGTTATATTAAAAATTGTCCTGGCTCTTCCAAGTTTTATAATGGCATGGGCGGGTGTTTTTGTTCAACAGTCCAAAAGTAGTCAAATAAAGTGCACGCATCCCTATTAAAAAGCGCATCACATGACTCCGGGGGGTGAATAAAGGCCTCCTGTAGTGAATCGATGCGTTTTTGTACGCCAGACACCTTTTTCTCACTTCTGCTAACTGTGTCGTAGGACGGATGACATAGGACGTTTGCGTAGCATAAGCGCTGGTGATTAGTGACGAACGCAGAATCGCGATGGAGAGAGAACAAAACAAAACGCCAGTCACGAATTAGAAGCACAAAACGAGGATTTGCAAAGAAAAATGTGGGAGGATTTCGACATAAGCCAAGAGGAGACTGGTTTTCCTTTGGTAAAGTAAGGAAACTTTGCATCCTTTGCTCCTGCAAACAAACGTTGGTTTTCGCGAGACTCACATGTGCTGCTCCTACGTCATCCACCGGAAAGGCAGTCCCTTGTGAACGCACATACGACAGTTTGCGGAAGTTACACAAAACTGTTTATATCGTTTTAAATATGGATATTTTTCTTACAAAAACACACGGATTCACTACAGGAGGCCTTTATTCACCCCCCGGAGCCGTGTGAGGCACATTTTAATATGGATGGATGCGCTTTATTTGACTACTTTTGGATTGTAAAACAAAAACACCCACCCATGCCATTATAAAGCTTGAAAGAGCCAGGACAATTTTTAATATAACTCCGATTGGATTCGTCTGAAAGAAGAAAGTCATATACACCTAGGATGCCTTGAGGGTGAGTAAAGCATGGACTAATTTTCATTTTTGGGTGAACTTTGGGTGAAATATTGGGTGTTTTTTCCCAGCCCTAGTGCCGAAATTCAATGGTGTACCATTGAATTTGGTGTACTTCACAGTTCCACTCATGATAATGAATGAAAAAAAAGCTGGTCGTCTATCATCATGCCATTTAATTTGGTATTTTTAGTGCAGTAAATTATCCTCTAACCCAGGGGTAGGCAAGTTCGGTCCTAGAGAGCCGCAGTCCTGCAGAGTTCAGCTACAATCCTGAAAAAAAAACTCACCTGCCTATAGCCTTAGTAATCCTGAAGACATTGATTAGCTTGTTCAGGTGTGTCTGATTAGGGTTGGAGCTGAACTCTGCGGCTCTCTAGGACCGAACTTGCCTACCCCTGCTCTAACCAATTGAATGCCACATCCTGCTACTTGACAGATTTCACTGAAATGTGTCCTGAGAAAACACACCTGTCTCTAAAATATACACTCAAGGGCACTTTTGTTTATATATAGTGTATAAAAGAATAATGCCTCAACATTTAGGGCATCAGAATGTAAATCCTCTATCAAAAGATACTGTACTTTTGAGGTACACCAGCTTTTGACTCATGGATTTAAGCTAGTCTTTCTTTTGCCCTTCGGTCATAAGCTCTTATGAAGCCTGAAAGTATGTTTACTTTGGATGGCATTTCCTTGAAGTTTCTGCATGGTTTGGCATCCATGGTTGGCCTCTTTACTGAATCAGCCCTGTTTCTCAAAGAGAAGCCCCGTTGGCCTTTTGTGCTCCATATGCGCTCCCCTTTTCTCCCTCCCTTCTCCCTGCCCCGATTGAGAAAGCCCTTATAAATTAAAGGGACATTGTGACATGGACACACACTAACACTGGGCACTGATCAGGGAGCCATAAATTTAGGACTCATAATCAGCACAGCTGAATAGATGAGAAAGAAGGCTCAAATGTTTTGATGTTACATATCACGGTCTGGAGAGTAAGCCATGTACATCTGCCAAAGCTAAGGCCAGGCTTGACCCCTCGATTATATGGGAAAACAACGTCATTGAAAGCAAACACAGAGAACGGAGAGTTAAGGAGCATACCGATGTTTACATGAGCAAGAAGAGCAAAACTCATGGCCTTGCTTCAAATAATCTTATTCTATTTTTCATTCAGAGTTTCTCTCTCAAGGATTATTCTTGCACTACAATACCCTTACAGAAAAAAAAAATTCCTATGAATCCAAATACTGCCGTGATCTTATAGTAATATTCAGATTTATATTTCCAGTGTCAGTAATTTATATTCCACCAGACCATGACACTGATCTAAATAAGAGAAGCACTGCGATCAAGCAGTGTTACAGTAATCCCTGAGGAGAACCAATAAAGATTAATAGAGAGGTAATCTGCACTGCTGAGCCCATGTGTAAACACTCTCAGCAGAAATCCCTTCAGATCCCATTTTACAGCCGTTGCAAGAAATTCCGGACACACATTTATTCATATGATTATATTCATATATAATGATTGCTTTCAACACACTGGGTTAATTAGATCAAAGGATGGACAGACAGACAGATAAAATGGATAGAATGATTGATAGAATAATAGAGCGATAGAATGACAGAAATATAGAGACAAACAGAATGAAAGATTGACAGAACATCAGATGAACAGAACAAACGACAGAGAGAATAGACAGAACGACAGACAGATAGAACAGACAAAACGATAGATAAATACAACAACTGATAGATAGTACAACAGAGACAGAACGACAAACAAATAGAACAACAGAATGACCGTCAGATGGAATGACAGATAGAACAACAGACAGATAGAATGATAGACACAACAAAAGATAGAACGAATGAACAAACGATAGAACGAACTATAGATAGAACAAACTAACAATAGAATGCACAGAAGATATGAAGACAGAACAATATAGAAAATAGATAGAATGCAAGATAGAATGATAGATAAATAGAACAAACAAATGACAGATAGAACGAACGATAGATCAAATGAACGATAGGTAGAAAGTGATAGATTGAACGAACGAACGAACGATGGATGGATGGACAAATGGATGAATAAATGGATGGATGGCTGTATAAACAGATAAAAAAAAAAAAAAAAAAACCAGAATATGTTTTTTGTACAACTAAAAAAAAGTTACCATTTCAGTCTGCTGTGCTAACACAATACCGATCACTCTAGCCATTCTGGCGTACACATCGCGTCTAAACGACAGACATTTGCACGTTTCCGAATGGTAGGCACTTTTAAGGCAAGGTTTAAAACATTTGTGAATATACATTTATATATAATTCTATATAGATTTTTCCCATACATGAATAAGTAATTGGATGCAAAGGTCAGATGTCTACTCAAAAACAAAAACAAAACTAACAGCTAACAATGAAAACTCAAATGTGGCCGAAGGAATACACAGCAATGTGAAAATCAAATGAGTCTTTGGGTATGCCTATGTTTTCTCGGTACCTTGCTTCGTTCAGCTCCAGCTTAGATTAGGTAAGGGTCAGTACAGTCACTTTGGGGTGTTGGTCACAGTTTGGTACATAAACAGGGCAAGGAAGGAAAGATACACAAGGAGTCACGCTTCTCAAGGCAACTTCACAACCTTTATATGGATCTAGAGAGCATGAGTTTTATCATACTGATCTGTATGGAACATTACTGGCCTCCATAATGGTTTTTGATGAGCACTGGAGAGATACATTTACAGCACTCAAACTGGGCAGTTGAACTTCAGCTTTTTCAAACAATCCCAAACTAGTGGAAACTGTTTAAAAATTAATGATTTCAATGAAAGTGATTCCAAGTTGCTAGTTTGTTTGGGCCCAGTAGGAAAGCAAAGCCTGTAACATTAAAAAAAAAAAAAAAAATCAGGTCTACTCTCTTCATGAACTAATAAAACAGATCACTGCAGTGTGACGTGAGAATAAATGCGAGCTTTTCATCACTGAAACATCAGAACGGCGCTCTGATCAGAGGAAATGCATGTCTGGAGGTGGGCAGGCCGTGTCAGATCCCCAGTATGAGCTACCTCAAGCTCTCATCACAGAGGACAGGCTCTGGGCTCATCAGTTCCATAAATCAGCCTCTTTTCAACCATGTGAGAAGCTTTAGAGTCGCCAAGACGAGAACGGATGAAAAATGGCACTGGTTGTTTTTCTAAACCTGCAAACACTCAAGCGCAGATGTAACTCAAATCATTTTCCAAGACATGGGTCTTTTGACGTATTTTCAGTTCTAAGCACCAAAAAAAAAAAAATGTTGTGAAATAATAAAATGAACATTGCAACCTGGAGGGAAACATTTACATTGACTCGTTAAGAGTTATTAGACAGATTTCTGAAAACTACAGAAAGGCATTTTTCAACATCCGAGAAAATGATAAATTAATGAAACACTTATGATCAACATCAGACATGCTAGGACAAAAAAAGATGAGAAATGAAGTCAGGACTGATACAGAACAATTATATTCAATTATTCCACTTTAAAATTTTCTTTACAAACACATACTGCTACAGTTAAAAAGTAGTCCGCGACTAAAAACAGCTCCTTTGACAGAAGACAGATGCGGATAGCCTCACCTTTACAGATTGTGTTTCTTTTTTCTTTTAAGCCTTTTCAAATACACCGAAAATAATGTTTAAATACAGAGAGATTTGCCATAAAATAAGCAATGCTTGCTTTTTTCATAAAAAGAGGAAAGAAAAGGTCTTAATTACAATACTCTATGCAAAAGCTTTCCTTTATGTTATTTATTTTTTTCCTCAGTCATGTCGTATGATTTTTTTATTTTTTTTCGTAGTCACTGATAACAGACCATCACTCTGGTTGGTGAAGCTCGGTTGTACATGAGTGAGTCTATGCATAAAACTCCTTGGTGGGAGCTTTCTGATAGGCCGCTCCAGACGGCTTCCTCTCCCCGAGGTCATAGCTGCCTTCGTCCTTCTTTCTCATGCGGTACACCAAAAGGAGGATGAGGAAGATGGCAAAGAGGAAGCCGATAACTCCACCCGCAATGACAGCTGGAACAGAGGATTTAAGGAGGCCTAATGAGTCAGTTTGTTTCAATTAAGATAAGCAGACATAGCGGAGTTGCTGCTTTCTCACGGTATATGTGAAATCTCATTCCTGTCTGACTACGTGACTAAAGTGCCATCTGGGAGTCTATGGCTCATACAAAGCAGACTCCGATTATGTCCAGTAATCAAATAATTAAATAAGGAACCCCTCAACACTGCTGGAGGGTCAAGAGATTGAGCGAGAGGAAGTGTGGAGGAAGACAGGAAGACATTATTTCTTCTCATTGTGATTCTGTCTTTATTCGACAGGATATTAAAGTTGAGTGTGCTTAACTTAAGAATTTGACCTTTGAACATTGAGAAATTGATCTGTTATTTTGACTGACTTGTATGGTAACATGCTCTTTATGTTTTGTGCATCCCTAAGACAAAAGATAAAGTGGGCGTTTCTAGTTGAAATGTGTAGTAAACTTTGAAACTCCCAGTGAGGGCTGCAATTCAAGTGCACACCACAGCACCATGAATTATAAACAGGAATTAATTGTAAGCAAGAATTTCTAATTTAGTAGCAAAATTATTTAAAAAAACATTTATGTACACTACCATTCAAAACGTTGGTGACACTTTTACATTGTTACAAAAAACATTTGACTAAAAAAATCATGTTGAACATTCAGTTCATCAAAGAATGTATTGTGGTTTCTGCAAATATATTAAGCAACACAACTGATTTCAACATTGATAATAATAAGAAATGTTTTTGAGCATAAAAAAACAACATATTAGAATGATTTCTGAAGGATCATGTAACACTGAAGACTGGACAAATGGCTTCTGAAGATTAATCTCTGTCATCTCACAAAATAAATTATCTTTATTATTTTTTTAATTATATTTATAAATATATTGTTAAGTAAACTGTAATATTGTTTACAATATTTTACTGTATTTCTGATCAATTTTGTTAATTTACAGACCTGCCAAAACCTCTGTCCTCTGGAAGAGATTTTCCGACTGGACTTCCAGGTGTGATCGAGGGAGGCTGGTGGTGCTTGTGACTGGGTTTCTACGCGAGTCTTCTGTGGTTGGAACTGGGTCCTAAAGAGAGTGAAGAAGAGGATGCGTTACACTCAATTTGGAGTAATGGATGATTTAATGACAGCAGTGGGCTCTTTGCTGGCTGCATTACTGCACATTAATATCATTTCCACTAATAGATCCACTTGTGACCAATAGACCCCATTTACACCTGGTTTCGGTTTCAGGTGATCAGATACATAGGACCTTCTTCGCCCCTATTACTACCACTTGTGATCAGATCCCCTGAGATGGGTGATAATAGCACCTTACAGCTGGTACCCACCTCTATCCTGACTCGTTTCTTTGTGTCTTCGGGGACATCGCGTGACGTAGATGTCTCCACTTTCGGTGTGAAGTCTTTGGTGGAGTCCTGTGTGGGCTCTGCTTTAGGCACGATGAACAATGTTTTTACTGTGACAGTTTCCTCAATAACTTCTCCAGTTCCTGAAAGGCAAACACAATCTGTGCTTCAACTGCAATATCCAACATGAAGGGATCAGACTGTGCACCTTGAATCGATGAGGCACTTCTTACCTGATCCTGATCCAGAAGTGAAGTCATCGTCATCTTCAGGGTAGCCTCCTGACCCGGCCTCCTCCAGGTATAAGTCATCGGTCGAGGAGGTGGATTTGGCCGCAGAGACTGCTATCTGCAGAGGTAAAAGTAAAAAATAAGTCATAAAAATGGAGATTAAGACAGAAAGGAGTGTTTTCAGCTTTCATTGTCTGTGTCTTATTGCTCAAACCCCTCGACTCAAAGGACCAGAGGCTATGAAATCGATTTTTTTTCAGTAATGTGTTTGAAACTAGTAAACTGCCCATCTTGCCACACGGTGAATGAATATTCCCTGTCTCCCCTGCTTACTGCTGAAATCTGAAAGCCAATATTTTCTGCCTTAACACGTATTATACACAGCCTAACCTTCTCATCAAAGACTCGGTGCAGACACAAGCCCAGCAGCTACAAGTAAAATTTGCTCCACAACCGAGCATTCAGAATGAACTGCAGACTCAGCCGTTTCTGTAGAGCCACATTATGACATTTTAAAACACTGCAGAAACTTTCCAACAACAGGTTCATTCTCAGAAGCCCAGCTGCATCACCTACAAAGGAGCAAATTTACTAAATAGTTTTTTGCAAACATGATAAAATGGCACAGCGTTTATTTAAATTATGTAATGGTCATTCTTTTCAATACAAACACTCCCACTTTCTATGCCAATTAGGTTTATTATACATTGTTCCCCATTCACAAAACTCACTCATTTGCCTAGTGCAATTAACGCTGCACTATTGAACAGGATTTTATTAAGAGTGGCATTTGTGTGCATATTCTAGCAATTATGGCAGCAAATATTCATCAAATGATGAGCAAAGGATGGAGTAGAATTCTGTATTTGGCTATATTTCTAGATACGCTGTGTAATGAAGCGCAGTTTATGCATTTTAAAGAGCATATTCAGGTGTCTGCTTCACAGTTATGGAGAGAGATACAGTCCCAAGTATGCCAGATCATGGTAGAATTTTTGATGCCACAAAGTGCACGAACCCCCCTAAACCTGGAGTGAAATATTAAACTATGACGCCAGCTCTTCCGTCACTTGATCTTTTTATTTTGGTGCATCAATCGGTTTACAAAAAAGAAGACCGTTCTCGTGAGTGCGGATCATGATCTCCTAAACATTAAACTATGAAAATAATTTAATAATATTAAATTAAATTAATAATATCATTAAAAAATAAAATAAAATTTAATAAAATGAAAAATACCTGAAAATTAGTTGCTTTATTGAGTTGCCAATTTTTCTACCCTCCATAAGAGTACTATTAGATTTATAAACCTGGGGAGAAACATAAAACTATAAAAATAATTGTGAAAACAAATTAATAAAATAAAAATATATTACCTAAAATTACTTTAAGGTGATCGTTTTTCTACCCACCATAAGAATACTTTTAAAAATAAGATTTATAAAACTAAAGAGACACATAAAACTTTAAAAAAAAATAACTGTGATCATAAAATAAAATAAAATAATAAAAAACGGTTCACAAAATTCACGGTTCGGTTCGATACAACACAATGGTGTCACGGTTCGGTAGGTTTTCGATACGGGGGGGATTGGTTACTTCGCAATGTTGGAAATATTTCGGAATGACGGAAAGATGGAAAAACGGAATGACGGAGTAATGAAGGAGCATTCGGCATCTGACGCATATTCTCTCAGAGACGACGAGAGACGAATCTACTTCAACATATGCTGATAACGGGAGGCTATATAGCTAACTGTTTTAATTTATTCCCTTAATATTTCTCTTGTGGCCCGTACATAGTGAAAAAAAGAGGAGATACTTATTTCGTGTTAAACAGGTTGTTTTTGAAAGTCAGTGCTTGAAATAAAGCTTTTTATATCATTGATTTTTATTGATGACTGCAGTGTTAATATTTTAATTATAGGCCTATAATTCATTGTATCCTAAATAGACCTGTTTTAAAAGACCTTTTTTAAAACATTTTAATTGAGGAGTAAATAGCCTAATCTTTTGTTATCCTCGCAGTGCGTCAGTTATGCGGTAATTATTGTGGGGCAAATTAATTGTAATTTTAATTTAATAATAAAAGCAACTTCATTATAATAATAGGCCTAGTAAAAATAAGAATGTAACAGGCCTAGGCTACATTAATTGGAAATGCCAAATCCTCTTAATATTGCAAATAATTGATGTTTTTGACAATATCTCTGGCCATCGTCAATACAAGATCATTGTCTTTTGACGCAAACCAGCAAGGGGAGGTAATCACGTGCCCATCCGCTACGACACGGGGCAGACAGTGCGTTGCCTGTTACGTCATTTGGGCTGCATTGTTGATCGCAGTGGCACTGAGAACATTATATTTTACACACTTTAAGCTCTTTTATTTTCCAAATGTACTAGGATTAGTCCAACGAATTGTTTGGTTTGTAATGTAACGCACCGAACCGAAAGCTTCATACCGAACAGTTCAATAAGAATACGCGTATCGTTACACCCCTTATAATAATAATGATAATAATAATAACAACAACAACATAATACTATTTAAATATCTGTGCCAAGTTTGAATCACACTGTTCCAGAGTGGCACAGATTGGGATACACTTGACGATATAATCCAAATGAATGTGTGTTAACTATCTGTAAAGGTTTTTGTGGTAGTGCTAATCATGTTCCTTTGTGTTATTTGGTCTTTGTGGAGTGGCTTACCAGCCCCATGGCAACCAGCATTGAGCGTCAGTCCAACCCTGCCTGTGACCGTCTCTCCATACTGATGCAGCCTAGAAAAGGGCCCATAATGTGGTCACCATAAATCACACTACAGGGCCCGGGAATAAGGCACAGAGTCTGTGGCACACATATTGGTATCTTTGTTTTAAGAGCTGTCCCTCTTCTCAGCCAGAGAGAAATAACGTGTATATTGAAAAAAAAAAATTTCACAGAAGAAAAAGACAAAGACAGACTGAGAAAACTGTTTTCCTACCGAAAACTTTTTTGGGGAAATTTGTTGTTAATGAATGTATATAAAACTTGATGTGTATTCATGCTTGTAAGACCTAGTATCTTCTTAAAAAAAAAAAAAAAAAGCCTAGGCCATCTCTCACAAAGAGGCAGAGCTGTACAGAGGATGGTGAATGGACACAATGATAAAACAGAACAATAACCAGCTCATTCAAAAGCAGCAGTGACTTCCCACAAAAACGCATTCAAGCCAAAGTCCTGATCAAAGGAGGAATTTGTTCAAAGCAACTTTATCTTAACCTTTCTAACCCAGCATTGCTATTCTCTCGGTAGACAATTCATTTGGCCGGCCCACACGACACTGCTGTTGATTTGGTCAAATTCTTTCTCCAATGATTGAAATGCAAAGTACAAAGAGCACAATTATCTGGGCCACACACACAGGCACATCAGCAGTGCTCGATATCTTGAGTCAATTCTTTTTGTCAATGGGATTCTAGTCAAAGTTCTGCAACGAGGTGTCTAATGTGTCTTTATGTCTGGCTACGGACAATAAACAGCCCACAGAGCTCTTAAGATGCTTTCAAAACCTTTTGAAGGAATGCATTTTACTTGAGTGCTCTTGAACGATTAGGGTTTAGTTTGAAAAAAAATAATAATAACTGCACCAGATCGATAAGATTATTTTGTGCTTGAGTTGTGTATTTACATTCTGTGATCAGCATGGAAAATTAAAATGTGCAGCTAATAATTAGTGATGATTGCTTAGACAAGCACTTCAAGTTGGGGCTATTAAACTTTGGCACACAACTCATCCCACACCATTATTTACAAGCACATGAATGATACCTAAAATTATGTGGTTTGATGGACTAATGATGGACCATGAATCAGGCAAAAAAGTTGCATTTACTTACACAGAAGAAGTGACCCAAGCCATATTTAGGGAAAACAATATCAGAAACTTGGAGGTGGACTCTTTTGACATAGATGAGTAAACAACCACCTAGAAACAAACCAGGCCACTCTAGTTACCAGACGCAACACCTTATGAAACCACAAAGCAAAACACTACAAAAACAGCAACACATTTATTTTTTCATTATTTTTGTCTTGAAAATTTGTGCAAGATATTTTATATATTGTTTAAATATTATTATTTAAAATACATATAGTATATACAGTATATATACTAGTACATATACATATTGTTTTACTATGTAATTTTACTAGTATATAATAATAATTATATATATATATTTATTTATTTTTTTTGACCATTTAAATTTTTCTAGACTCGGTTTTAATGGTTAAATAAAATTTTATTAATAAAAAAGCATTTCTATTTAATTGAAATCATGAAACTTACACAATTTAACAGCAATTTATTAAAAGTTGAACAAAAATTTTATTTTTATGGGCCTATGAAATTCTTTTTTTCTCCCTCAAATTTAGTTTAAAAAAAAAAAAAAAAAAATTTT